AAGAGTAATATTCAAACGAAAATTGTATAAAAAAGTTTCGTGGGGTTGCTAAAAAATTGCCCCCTTCTCACTTGGTGGTTTGAATCCACCCCTACTTCATATACAAATCAACATTTCTCAATTTTTTTCATAAATAAATCAACATTTATCAACAAATACTACTACTTTAGATACAAATCAACATTTTATCATTTATCCAGTTGTTATTGGTCTTGGATCATGAATAAGTGCTCATTTAATAAAATACTGATCATTTTATTTTTATTTCCATATTTACATTGCTAAACCTTGTAATTACAGTGCCTCTAGGGATGGCAAAAATTCCGGAAACACTTAAAAATGATATATATATATATATATATATATATATATATATATATATATATATATATATATATATATATATATATATATATAGTAGCGTAGCGAAAAAAAATCGCCCCCCCCCCCGCAAAAATTTAATCCGGGCCCCTAAATTACTTCTTTTCTATTCCCTTCCCCCCCCCCCACCTTGCCTTTACCTTCCTGTGTAAAATATATGTTTTGTATGTATGTTAAATGATACGCATGTTATTTATTGTACTGACACTTTTTTTTTAATTTTTTTTTGTTGCCTTGGGCCCCTAATAACTCTGGGCCTCCCCTTCGCTACGCTACTGTATATATATATATATATATATATATATATATATATATATATATATATATATATATATATATATATATATTCTTGGAGTCGGAGGTCACGTGACAAATTGGATTTTTATAGCTACCATTATGGATTAGGGAAAACAAACTGTTAAAGCGCCGTAAAAACAAGATTTGTTTAGCTAATTTGCAAGATTGTTTAGCTAATTTTGCAAATTTAAACTTATTCAAATTAATTTACAAATGCTAATCATTCAAAAGTATTTATTTTAAATAAGTTTTATGATTTTCTGTTTTATTTATAAGTTACATTCTGTTTTATTTATAAGTTACATTACATTTTACCCTGTAAAAAAAACCGTTAATTTTATTTTTTAAGTTTATTATGAAAAAATATTTTAAATAAAATGAAACAAATAAACTACTTTAAATCCAAAACAAAAAATAAAAATTGAAAGTACAAAAAGAAAACATCCTATAAACTACTTTTATTATTCCTGTTTGTATATATTTTTTTCTATTTAAAATTCATGTATTTTTCTTTAACTGATAAAATTTTTTATAAACTGATTAAAATAAAAATGTTTTAAGACATAAAAGTGTAGACATAAGATATATAAAAATGTAACAAATGAAATAAAACATAAAACTTTAATTGTAAAATGTTTTATAAAAGACTTATTTTTTTAAAAGTATCCAATTATAGCAAGTTATTTGTTTACACTTTTTTATGGTTCAAAATATGCATCTACAATTGATACACTAAGCCTACAATAATAAAATTAAAAAGAATTCCATGAAAAAGACATAGATGATTAGCTATTTGATAGAATCTTCTTGTTTTTTCCTTACTAGCCTATCTGTAACTATTCCAAAAATATAACCATAATGATTTACTTTAAAATCTTAAAACTTTCTAATAAGTTTTAGGTAGTAAATTTGCAGTGGACCTTTATAGTTTCACTGTTGATGGGATTTTGCTCAACAGTTACTAAGTGGACCTTAAGAGGCAATCGCTATAAGTGGCCAGCCAATAAATTTTTAACATGTGATTTTTTTAGTATTACTTTTGGCTATATGCTGTAATATATTTCTTGTACTGACTGTAACATTTTGCTCTTGTTAATGAGATTCTATAAAGATTTCAAAGCATGTTAGTGTAAGAAACTTTGTCTTGAAAACAGGTGTTAATGATTTATAAATATCAGTTCTGACTTGCATTTTTATCGGAAACTTTAGTTTAAAATACATAATAACAACCCACTTCCAAATAGCTTATTGCTAACTAACTGATGTTACATATATAAGCAAGCATTTTAAAGTAGGTTTTAGTTTAATTTTATCAAAGTCAACAATATATTTGATCATTTAAGGCTAACTTGTAACAATAATTTTTTCATCTTCACTTAAATAATCCATCATTACTAACAAATTTTTTTCAGTATCTAAACTGTAAATAGAGCACATATGTTCTCATCTCCAAATTCTAACTTTAGTCTTTCACATATTACTTTTAAACTATCCATTTCCTTACAAAAACCTTTTCTTTCTAACTGTGTAACTGGAGTTAGTGATGATATTAAAGACTGTGCAGTTATGAGGTGTAATGTTGTTTCGAGGAGTTTATGAGTTTTAGAAGCATAAAAAATCTGTTGGTTCACCTTCCGACTTATTTTTTGCATTGAAATCATTTTATAATTCCATCGTTATTGTTAAAGCTAAAAATTATTAGGTGAAAAAATTATTATTTGATGCAATTTTAATATTAATTCTTGTGATATATTGATTTTAATTTATAAAAAAAATAAAGTTAAAATAAAAAACAAAAACCAACATTTCAAAAGAATATTTACTATAATCTAAATAAATTAAAATTATCAAGGAATTGCTAATTTTATACAATTTAACATAAAATCCTTGTATTTAAATAGTTTTAATATAATTACAACTTTAATTTAGTAAAGCAAATTAAATACAGTATATCATAATAATATATTATTATGATATACTGTTATATAACTGTTACATATTGTTGTTATTATTAACAGCAATATATAATAGTTCATATATTTTTTATATAACTTTTATGTAGATTTTATCTGTTCTTTTCTTTATTTTTTTATTTAGTGACCAAAAAACTATAAAGTATGTGTAGTGAAAAAAATATACACTTAACAATCATTAAACTATGTTGTATAATTGTGGAGTGTATTAGAGTATAAATGTCTAGTGTGTATAAATGTTTAGTGTGTAGAGGAAAAAGTATAAAATTTAAATCATTAAACTATGTTGTATAAACCTAACTTGTTAAGTAACTAAAGAACTATGTTCCATATGAAGATATTAGTTAAACTACTCCATATTTGTCAACATGCGCACGATTTATTACCTTTAACTTCTAATACCTTCATATAGAAGTATCTAAAAAATTTAACTCTGTGAAATATTATTATTTGAAACAAGAAAACACAGCAACTTTGAGGATTATTCATGTAAATGAATAATTCCTCAAAATTCCCGACTTGATAAAATTATTTGTTTTCCCTAATCCATAATGGTAGACTTATTTTCCGATATTTGTGACGTAGCTCCGACCCGAAGGATATATATACATATATATATATATATATGTACATATATATATTACATATATATATATATATATATATATATATATATATATATATATATATATATATATATATATATATATATATATATATATGTATATATATTTATATATATGTATGTATATATATATATATATATATATATATATATATATATATATATATATATATATATATATATATTTATATATATATATATATAAACATATATATAAACATATATATAAACATATATATATATATATATAAACATATATATAAACATATATATAAACATATATATATATATATATATATATATATATATATATATATATATATATATATATATATATATATATATATATATATATATATATATATATATATATATAATATATATATATATATATATATATATATATATATATAAACATATATATAATTTGCAGACAAGCAATAATGTTTTAAGTGTTGTTTTGAATAAAATACAGAAAAGAAGAGTTTTAAAAGAAAAACATTGCAAAGAGAATAAATAATTACACAACCAAACAGCTACTATACCAAAGACGATATAAAAATTACTAAACTACACTTATAAGCTTGAACTTTATTAACTTTTCCTTTTTTTTTGACGATCCCGAAATCCCGGGAAATTTCAGAGGATTTCAGGATGAACAATTTGTACAAAATCCCGGGATTTTGGGATCCCGGGATTGCAATCCCTAAGTGCCTCAGTATAAATGTTAATACTTATGGCTAAGTAAAGAATGGTTAACTATTCTTTACTCAGGCATACTCTAGAGGTTTGTATCTACATTACTAAAGACAAAACAGTAAAAAAAATAAATAAATAATTGCTGTAAAACAAAATATTTTAGATGCTAAACTAAGGTTATGATTGTGATGTGGTCTAAAATGATACTTTAATTTTCAAAATCTGAAATCCAGTTTTAAAGATTTGTTTTTTATATTAAAAAATAATAAAATATACATTAAATATTTATGGAGGTCACTAAAGTTATTAAAGCAATTCTTTGCAATTATCTCTTTGTTAATAAGAATTATAAAGCTGATTTAATAGACATTAATGACATTGAAAAAAGTTATGATTTGTTTAATATGACACCAAAAGAGATGGTCTGCTTTATGCAGTTATTAATTACAAAACAACCAAAACTCAACATTCTTGCTTTCAGAATTATATTACTTAAGAGTTTTAAGAATTTACAACTCTATTTCCCTCCCCCCTCCCCCCCTCCTAGTTTTTCAGTTAAGTCTTTAATTTTAAATTTAAATGAGCAATCAAAAATTAATAAAATTAAATTTTAAATAAATGTTGCTCAAAACATATTTTTGCTTTTTGCATACCATTCAATAATACAGAGTATTCATAATCAAACAATAAATTCCTATGCCAGAATAGAAATTATATTTAAAAATTAAACCAGAAAAAATAATGACTTTATAAACAACGTAACAAAACAATCTAGATTACATTGAAAAATCACACACACACACACACACACACACACACACACACACACACACACACACACACACACACACACACACACACACACACACACACACACACACACACACACACATACACACACACACACACACACACACACACACACACACACACACACACACACACACACACACACATAGACCTGAAATTTTTAAGAAAGTACTCTAATCCAATGTTTCTTTTTATTAAAACATTTTGCTTTTTAGATATGTCAACAACTTGTCACTTTAGAAAAAAGAAGATGCTTGCTGAAAGCTATAAGCAATTATGCAAAGTAATTATACATATTATAATTCTCTTATTATCTACTTTCACTTTTTTTTGTCTAATGTCCATTTCCAAGATGATACCCACCAAGTTATGCATCTACTACTCTATATGCCTAATTCGCTTTTTTTTTTTTGATACATTCATGCCCTCCCTCAATCTCTTCCTAAAATTTTATTTTTTTAAAATAGTGATCATATTGTTTATCTATGTAGTCATTGTTTTACTTTTTTCCCGGATTCTGGATTGAAATATGCATAGTCCATGTTTTACTGTCATACATTATATTTCATCACTAACTAAACTTATGCTAATTTGTCTTTTTTTATAACTCAAGATGCATCTCTTGTTGTTTAAGGTAGAAAAAAAACTTATTTTTTCTTGGTATTTCTGGATTTTTTGTATAAACTTTTTTTATAACTTTCTAATAAGAACATCAAACATCAAACGTTTTATTAAACGCTTGGATGCTCTCGTTGAAACAAATACTGATTTACTTGATGTTATAAGGTAATTGTTTTAAACTTATATGATTTTATTGCCTGTTTTAATAAAATAATTGTTGTAAACTTTTATAATTTAATGCTAAAATTTATTATTTATATATTTTATATCTTATATCTATATTTATCTATAATTATAAATAATTTTATTATTTAATCAATAACAAATATTAAACATAATTTAGTTATTATAATGAAATATAGTTAATTCTTTGTACTTGCATTGTTAATTATTCAATACACAGTTTTAAAATTTTAACCAATCAAATAATGTAAATGTCTTTGTTTAGAAATGTTGTATTTGAGCAGCATAAATCAATTTATGACGATCATAAAGCCAGAAAATTATCGTAAGCTTAATAATTTTTTATTCTTAGATGTTTACCATGTTAAATTAAAACTGTTGATTTTAGCATTTTTACTCAGTGGATTCCGTACTTTTTTAAAAGTTTATTTTTTATAGTGGCCTATAAATACTTTGGCTACACTGAGTAGATTTAAGTAGGTGTAAAAATACTTTTACATAATTATTTTATGTTAGAGTAAACTGCTGACAAACTACTGACTACAAACTTCTATGTATATTCAGAATAATAATGTGTGTTAACCTTAAAATGAATATATTTTAAAAATATACATATTTTATTAAATGATAAGTTTAACATGGTTTTAGAAATAGATTGTTTAAACTAGTTGAGACTTTAAAATTAATTTCTGTTATAACTTCCTAAAAGTTAAAAGTAAAAGTTACAAAATTGTGCAAAATGTAATTTTAGCTTTTAAGTTAATAAGTAAACAAAACAACTCTTGTAATTCTAAAAATAAAATATAAACATTCATGATGGCCCTTATAAGCGAGTCAATGATTTTTTATAGCAAATTTACTGTATTTTCTGTGTGTTTGAGATTTATTATTCCTGAAAAAACTTACTATTATTTTTCTCAAAAAAGAACCAATTTTAACGACTGTTGTGTTTATGGTAAAGTTTTACAAATAATAATTTATAAATATTAAAGTATCACTATGAATAAGTTTTATGAATTTTTTCTGATACCTTAACTTACTATTACTATCTATTATTCATCGAAAAACTTAAATTTTTGGATTTTTGTATAATTGTCAAATGTGGATTTGCAATAAAATTAGCATAATGTAAGATAACTATATTCTAACTATAAAATGTCAGATAAAAATAAATTTAGTTAGTAGATGTAGAATATATCTTAGCTATGTGTTCCAGAATTTACATTTATCCAGGCTAGATTGAGAATTTGATTTCTTACATCATTATTATGGATAGCAATAAAATAAAACTTTTTAAATAATTTATTTTCTGCATTACTTAAAATAGCAGTGGTTTTCAATTTCACATTAAATCAGGGTATTACCCAGCCCAATGGCACCACATATATCGCAGAATTCCCAATGGGCTTAAAATTCCCAAAATTTAATGACTTTTTTTTTTAAGTAATAGGATAATTTCAATAAAAATTCTCAGTATTTTGTAGAATAATAACATTAATATTTCCAATATCCAAAAAGTACAGTGAAAATTATATTCCTGGCTAACACCCTGTAAGTACACTGTTTTGCTTAGTTTTAAATTTTAATTAAATTTTATTTGGTAAAATTAAATTCCAGCATAAGTTAACAAATAATGAGCCTCATAAGTATAAACATTTTTTAATTATTTGTAACTTTTATAAGCATAAACTTCAAGATTGAAAGTAAAAGCCTACACCTCAGCATTGTGGCTATATAATATATATTTATAACTATATTATATTTATATTTATTATTTGCTTCTCGTTATACCTATGTTGATGTTGTATATAATCAACATTGACCAATTTTTGGAATTAAATTGTAGACATTGTTAGTCAAACCAAGTGTTATAGTTAGCAATGCTTTGACATGCATTTTTTCATTGTTTGTGTAAGGTTGTAAGCACTATGGTGACATAATGCATGTTTCTCTAGATTAGATAAAAATAGATATTACTAAAAATTTCAAACAACTTTTTGCTGGTGTTATTATAATATATGAATTAAATATTTTTATTAACCTCTAATGTTAATGCATTTTATTTTTTACATACCAAAAAGTGCTGCAAAATTACTTGTGAGACTATTTTTTAACAAACAATGCATTTTTAACTCATGTACCAAACCTACATAAGCCATATCTAATATAAGCCATATCTATTATTTGTATAGAGCAAAGTACCTCAAAATGCAGTTGGCTCAACTGCAAATCCACTGCAATCGTACTTGCTAATACAAAGTATAGTTATCTCAGCTGCAAGTTCAATGCAGTAGTGCCAACTAGCGCAAAATACGGTTGACCCAACTGTGAATCCAATGCAGTTATGATAACTTACATAAAATGTGGTTAGCCCAATAATACGAGCTGCTTAAGTATTCACTGTCTTTATTTCACTAATTAGTTCTTGCTTAAATTATGCTTTAAAAAGGATTGTTTTTAGTCAAAAAAATAGTTTTATGCAATGTTTATGACTAATGTTGCATATTAAAAGCTTGATTTTGATAAAAATTCAGAAGAAATATTTATATTACAAATTACCATTTTTAATCAAATATTGTATTAACAATTTTTTTTTGTTAATTTTTTTTTAAAGTTATCTGAGAAATGAAAAGCATGTAGTTCAAATTATTAAAGGTGATGATCAATCCATGGGGTTTAAAATTCGCGGTGGTGAGAGAAATTTCATTTTTTAAATTTGTGATACTGAGTGAATTTTGTATATAAATTTAAGTTCTAATAAATGTTTATCTTAAAAATTTAGGCTTTTTTTCTTTGTCACTTATTTCTAGGAAAGGAATATGGTGTTGGTTTCTATGTAACTTCAGTAAATCCAAACTCACCAGCAGATATTGCTGGTTTAAAGGCATTTTTTTTTTAATATGTTTAAATTATAAGTTTAAATATGTTATCATTGTTAAATAAATAAAAAATATTCTATATGGTTTATATAAATATATACATATATATATATATATATATATATATATATATATATATATATATATATATATATATATATATATATATATATATATATATATATATATATATATATATATATATACATATATATATATATATATATATATATATATATATATATATATATATATATATATATATATATATATATATATATATATATATATATATATATATATAAATTATATAATCATATAAGCAAAAATATCCATTCAAAAAAAGAAAAATCTGACAATGGCTGTGAACTTCTGAAAATAGAAACTTGCTTTTATGTCTACTAATTCATTTTTTTATTTAACAACTTATTATTGTTGCAAAATATTATTATTGGTTTAATACAAATTTTTCACATAAAGTTGCATCATTTGTTTGTGGGATTTTAATATCTTCAACATTTTACAAATGTCCATTTAATTGTTTGTTTAATTATCTTAAAAAAATGCAAAAATATGCATCAAAGGACTAGACTGAGCTGTCAAGCCCTAGGAAAAAATTAGGAAAAGAGAAAGAATAAAAAAATTAAATTAAAAAGATGACAGATGTTTAGAGCAGATGTTTAGTTTTAGCAGATGTATACTACTAAAGTGTATATTAAAAAAATAATAACAATAATTTAGACATTGCACATGTAATAGAAATTATAAACTTAGACCCATAATAAAAAATTATGACCAACATGCAAGGTCTAAAAAAATATGAAGCTTAACGTCACATGCTCAGAGCAGGAATTGAACCAGGAAATTATGGTTTATCAGGCCGGTGCTCAAATCGATTAAACTATAGACTTTGATATTGATACAGAATAATAAACATTAAAAGTATAATAAATTCAACAATAAAATTAAAATAAAATAGTGTACAAACAAAACAAAGACAAAGTACTTAAATATGTATATATATACACACATATACTTACACACACACACACACACACACACACACACACACACACACACACACACACACACACACACACACACACACACACACACACACACACACACACACACACACACACACACACACACATATATATATATATATATATATATATATATATATATATATATATATATATATATATATATATATATATATATATATATATATATATATATATATATGTATATATATATATATATACATATATGCACATACATACCATACATATACAAACACACAAATATATATACATCCATATAAACACATACATGTACATGTACTATACCTACATACGAACATACACACATACATATATACAAACATTTATACACACAGATATATACATACATATATAAAAAACAGACAGGGGAAAATAGAAAGATAATAAAAATCATTATGTTGAAAGATCCAATTAAAATTAAGTAGTAGACTAATGTAGATGAAACTCCATCCTCAGGACCAAAATATATTTACCAATGATGTTACGGAGAGCCTGATAAAAAATGGCTAGCATCACTTGTCAGAGATGCAGCCTTGCTATCTTTATCATCATTTGTAGTTTGTTCCACATTCTTTTCAACTTCCATACTTCTTTAGACAGTTAATTCCATACTCTTCCTTAGACAGACACTTCCATAGGGGAGGTCGAGGCAATGGTGGCCCCTTAAGGTTTTTTACCTTTTTTAGGGTTGTATTATAATGGTCTGAGCTGTAACTATGGTAGAAGAATTACTACAATGTATATTATAAAGTAGTTTATTGGCAAATACATACAAAAAATAATTAATGTTTTATTACAAAAAGAAAATTAAACAAAATGGCTAATAACATAGTATTACCCCATAACTTTGGGGTAATTGTGGCAGCCTGGTCAGCATTACCCTAATTCTTTTGTTGAATACGAATAATGGAAACAAGAATAATAATTATTTAAAATAAGTTTTATGTGAGTTTAAGGGAATAAGTTTATGAGTTTAAGAATTAATAAAAATAAGTAGTACAATATTACTATTAAATACAATAGTCACAAATATAAATATTGTTTTTATAGAGGTGATCTGTACAGTCTTTGTGAGCCCAGTAACCACATGTAGCACAGGTTACCCACCATTCTCGGTTTTGATCAAATTCCCCTCAAACCAAACAAATATCTGAAGACTTTTCTATTTTCTAGCCACTTTATACGGCCATGATTTCCCCAAATAAAATGGCAAAATCATAACCCCAAAATGAATCAATTTTTATTAACAAAAATAAAAACATATTTGCAAATAAGAACATACTTACATTATATATATTTAAAAACTAGAATAATGATATATTTCTTATAATTGGTGTTATTTAGTCAATGTCTTTAACATTTATATACTTAATAGCACAATAATTCTTTTTCTTTCTAATACGTAAATGACAGTTAACAACATAAGACAACTAGTGGTACTTATGTAGGAAGAACCAAGAACTATTAATTAAGAACCAAGAACCAATTATTAGTTTTTCTAGTAGAACATAGGTACCAGTACAGATAAAAAATCTCACTTAAATTACAAATATAGAAATGTCGTATGTCCATAATTTCCACAGAGACCATCAATCCCCCGACCTCCCCTACTTCCTTAGATAGCTCACTAAGATTTTCATATCTTTTGATATTAAAAGATTTTGAATGTTAGTTAGCATATCTAAGTGTATCTGAGTATAGAATGGCTTGATTTATAAAGCAATAAATATAATTGGATCAATGTTGATTTAAAGAGCACTTGCTTTTAATAATGTAATTATTATTTTTCATTACATAATGGTTGTGCAACACCATTCCTCAAATTTTGTTTTTTTAAAAGTTAAGGTAAGTTTAGAGTGGTACAAATAGAAAACATGAGGCAGGGTCCAGGTTTTTTTCATTTTTTTTTCCTTAGCCGACTATTAATTAAGAAAAAAACACAACTTTGAATAAAAAAAAAACACAAAATCTTTATTGAAATTAAATAACAAGCCTTCTCTCTATTGGAACACTTTGAAATTTTGCAGTGATGACAAATTTATAACCTTCATTTAATAGATCTCCAATTAGAGAAGCATGACAATTAAGTGTTTGCTTAAATGCTGAACTAGTTTGAGCAGACATAACAAATTTTTTTCTAAGTAATCAAAAGATTTAGAAAAAAGTACAATAAAGTTTAAATTCACCTACAACTTCTTTTAATTAAAATATACTAATACGGGGTATAACCCCCGTTTTTTTTTTAATACATGCTTGCATTTGTATTTTTCAAATCACTTGCTTTTTTCTGTTAATAATTTCAAAATTTGATTCATCACTAAAGATAATCATTTCCCATTGTTCCACTGAATAACTTAAATGCTCTTTTTACCATTTTTTTTGTTTTTGGCAATTGGTGAATGTTAACTTGATTATGATGAAAAATTAATTTGAAACGGTTTTTGAAATTGTCTTTTTTAAAAGATAATAAACTGATTAAAAAAAAAATCAATACAAATATTTTCTAACATCATTTATTTAACATGAGTTAAGAATGTGACAGGAAATGTAAGTAGCTTCCCTATGACAGACATTTTAGTAGACCTGTCAAGATCATAATCAGCCAATGCCACAGTAAAACACTTTGGGGAAAGATACCTAATATGGTTTTGAAGACTTTTGAATAAAGCACTGCCAACATTATAATCCCAATCCTTTTAAATGATTTTAGCAGCTTTATATGCCTCAAGGTTGTTTACTACTACATGTTTAGCTTTGTTGGATTTAAAAAAAATGAATGAGCAAAGTATAGGGCAACAATAACGTTATAATAACGTTATTGTTGCCCTTAGAGATTGTTGCCTTAGAGACTAAAGTGCTCTGATCATTACTCAGGAAGTTAATAATGTAAATAAGTAAATAAATTAATAATAATAGGAGGCGTAATATCCAGAAGCCCCAAGTAGATGCTGTCACACATAAATCT